CTCTTTCTCCTGCCTTCAGCATGAAACAGGCCCATAGGTGCATGCTCCTCAGTCTCCCTAGGAAGACTTYTTTCCTCAAAAAGAACCACATGTGATCCAATCTAAGGAGCTCCTACACCACTGGCAAAACAAATACACAGGTCCCAGCATTTGCTTCCTTGTACAGAGCACAAGTACAAGGCCCTCCTCAACAGCATTGCCTCTGTRATTCCCCACCAACAGCCTGTACTTGTCCCTGCTTGAGGCAAMCTGGAAGAAATCATAGATGGCAAAGACAGATTCACTGGCTGTCCATAAACCCACATGGGAGATCATAGAAGATGGAGCTGCTGCTCATGAGGTTGTGTAGCTTGTCAAGATCTAGAAATAAAAAACAATTACTCTTAAAAAGGGAGAAGCCTGCTCACCTTTGCAGTCTTAGATTCTCACCCCAAGGCTATTTTGGTTAAATGAGCTATTTCCTGTCTCCTCCTACCCTGCTTGAGGCTTCATGACAATTTGCCAAGTTTATGCTGTCTTCASTTTCTGGCATGAGACAGAAATGTCAGAAGAAACCAACAACCTTAACCAGCACAAGACTGGCTGTACTGCAACATTATTTTTCCCAGAACATTTAAAGGCTCTTATTCCAAAAACCTTGCCCTATTTAATGCTGGATTCTGATTAACACATTCCTCACTAGCAGAACAAGACAGACAGAAAAATGACTGAGTACACCAAGTTTTGTGTAGTACCCTGGTCTTTGCATTTAATAAAAATAAATTTTATTTGGAAATAAAATTTATTTCCCCTACCATACAAACACATAAGTTTGAAATAAACAGAGCCCAGAGCTGCCTTGCTCTAGGACTGCTCCAAAGCCCAGAGATGTCAGTGGAAATACTTAGCAGGCCTCAATAGTTCATTGGCTTTGCTRGGGAAGACATACAAGCTGACAGTCAAGACTATACATTCAGGAGATTGGATATTTCAGCATTTAAGTGCTTTTACAAAGCCAATCTTCAGCCCTTCCCTGGTCACACCTATGTACTGTACCAAGCCAAAATTCCCCARTGTGATCTCCAAAGCCTTCCACATAATTTTTTCAGTTTTGGTAGAAATCCACCTTGCCAGTGCTCTGTCTTTGAAACACCTTCAAAGCAAGGACTGTGGAGTGAACGCTCATGAAAGGATGAAAAAGAAACATGGAGGATGGGGATGAGAAACACTCATCCTGACAAAAATGCAGAGAAAAAGTGAACAGACAACCCTAGTTGATCATAGAATCATTAAGGTTGGAAAAGACCTCCAAGATCATTGAGTCTAAATTTTATGTACTTGAGCATGGTACACACAGGAATCCATTTCCATTTTCTGGCTACACATAAGCACTGGGGCAAATATTYAACTGTACAAAGGTTACAGTTTACTTCCCACAAATCTGAGCATGATTTAAACACTTAGACTAAACAAGCTTAGAGACAAGATCCACAAGGCCTTTGAGTTTTTAAACTTCACCAAGATCAGAGGGGTTTGGCAGTAACACACAACAATTTATTTCAGTGGGGAAAATCACTTATCACTGAAAAGTGAAAAAGGTATTTTTTTTCTCTGGTTGTTTATGGAGATTTCTCTAAGAAAACTTCAGATTCAGTCCTCCACATTCACACACATTCCTCACCTCAAAGCATCTGTGCTTCTGCCTTCAGGTTCTTTTGAGTCACTCAACATGTCCTGTGTGGCCAGAGTTAAAGTGCATGCTCACAGCACTAGCGACAAAAATGCTAACAGACATCAGCTGAACGGCATTAACTGATATATATATATAAAAATATATATATATATAGATAGATAGATAGATAGATAGATAGATAGATATACACATAACCTTAGACTGTGGACACATCAGTATCCACTACACTCCCTAAAACATGCTACTCCATTCAGGAAAAAGCGGAAACACAGGACTACAGCAGAGCAAAAGGAGCCTAAACTAACACCTGTATCATGTCCACATGATTACATTAATCAAAAAGCAAGCAGAGAAGCAGAGCCTCACTCACTATCCACCTGCTTCTGTTTGTGCTCATGTTGCAGTACACATGCAGCGACCTGCTGCCATCCCCGTTCAGGTAAATGATGTTCATGCTGCTGGAGGCATTTCTGTTCTGCTGCCATCCCCATTCAGGTAAATGGTGTACATGCTGCTGGAGGCATTTCTGTTCTGCTGCCATCCCCGTTCAGGTAAATGGTGTACATGCTGCTGGAGGCATTTCTGTGCTGCTGCCATCCCCGTTCAGGTAAATGGTGTACATGCTGCTGGAGGCATTTCTGTTCTGCTGCCATCCCCGTTCAGGTAAATGGTGTACATGCTGCTGGAGGCATTTCTGTGCTGCTGCACCTTGCTGCAGTCCATGCGATACTGGTAGAAGCTCACTGTGAGAACAGTGGGAAAAACTGTCCAGCAGCAAAGATTTGCTCAGGAAAGATTGGGACAGGGACCCCACAGCAGCGGAGCGGTGCCTCTGCGTCAATTTTCCTGCTGGGACAACTATTTCCCTATCATTTTTACAGCCGTTCCTCTTCAACYTGGGAGACGTATGCTGCACTAAAAGCCGGCCCCTGAGGTTTCTGTGKCAGATTCAGCTGACGGGTGGTACCMGCGAGTCCTGACATCACCTCTGAGATATACATAGCACAGCTTTCAAATKCGGTTCGGGCTCTTACCACATTTGCAGCGGCAGAGCGTTAAAARTATCGCGGACGATGGAAATGCATCGGGAGTGAGGCGGGAGCTGCCTGAGGGCGGGTCTCTGCTGTGGCTGGGCGCATGCGCGGCGCAGCGGCAAGATGGCGGCGGCCGTGCTGTCCTGGACGCTGAGGGCGGCTCGCCAGGTCAGACCGMCCTCCTCCCCTCCATCCGTCCTACCCTGCTTCCCCGCGGCTCTTCGGAACCCGGTCGGGGCGCCGGGGAGCGGGCAGGGGAGATGTGGAAAATGTTTGGCCCCGCAGCGCGGTAACATCGCGGTTCCGGTGTAATGYGGTGGTCGGTGTAACTTGGGGCTCTCTGTGCCTCCGGCACCGTTAAACTCCTGGATCTTGCGTTACACTTCTTACACCTCATCGCTATCTACAGCTTTCTCACGAGGGGCAGCACCGCTCTTTGCTCTCTGTGACGAGTAACAATACCCGCGGGAACGGCTGGAGCTGTCAGGGGAGGGTTTGACTGGGGATTGACAAAAGGTTCTTTCCCAAGAGGGTGATSGGGCACTGGACAGGCCCCCCAGGGAATGGTCACRGCMYARAGGCTGCCAGAGCTCAAAGAGTGTTTGGCAACACTCTCAGGCACATCGTGGGATTGTTGGGGCTGTGTTGGGGCCAGGCATTGGGATCAATGGTACTCGTGGGTCCCTGCCAACTCAGGATATCAATGCTTTATGTAARTAACAGTTCATACTTTACTAGGGCAAACTATGTGCAACAGGCAAGTATCACCAATTTAATTTATTTAATCAGGTACTTCCCTCGCCCTGCCCAAGGCAGGTGCGGAGCTACTATGTGGACTGGAGGATGCTGCGGGAYGTCAAGAGAAGGAAGATGGCATATGAGCATGCGGATGAGAGGCTGCGGATCAATGCTATCCGGAAAAACTCGATCCTTCCCAAGGAGCTGCAGGTACTGGCAGCCACTCCACAGCTGTGCCAGCCAGGGCATGAGCCCACACTAAAGCAGTCACTTTACAGATTGAAACAGCTGTTCCAGGTCACAAATGTTGTGTTTCCCCAGCTTACAAGCACAGAACCATGTCATATTCCATAGTGACCTTAGCCTTTTTGGGGTGTTTACAAAAAGAGCATATTCCCCTGACTGGAGATTGTATGCATTGCGAGGTTTTTTGAAACCAGTGCTTCTCGTGTAAGCAGCATATGTAATACTAAATACAGTGAAGTCACATTTCCTCCTACTTCATACTGCCCCTAACATACATTCACAAACCTTTACCTTTTCTTTACTTACAATAATATAGAATATAATATGGTTATTTTAATAGGTTTTTTTTTAATAAGCTCTCGGGGTATTTTTTTTTTGCTGTTTAAAAAATCTGAAAGCATGATCTAGCCAAAAACCACCAATCTGTTCAATTAGAAGTATTTAATTTTACTTGCCTGAGCCACAAGCATGTGAAATCTGTATCAGATCTGGATGTTAAAACTGTTCTTAAAAATTCATTGCCCTGCTCTCAGAAACATTTGCAAGTATCAAATTATTCCTTAATGTATTTGGTCTGGCCATGATATTTACATATCTTAAGACAGAAAGTGTATGAATTTACTTTTATATATTGACTTTACTGTTCTCTGGGCAAGTCTGGCTGGTGCTGGATGTCCTTACAGGGCAAAACCAAGAAATTAAAAAAATAAAAGATTCCTGTAAGACCTTCCAAAGTGCACTATACAAGATCCCTTTTACTGACATCAAAGCATGGTGGCATCAAAGCTACCCAGGCAGGCAGTTAATAAACAGCAAATATTTAAATTCAGCTCATCTGAAAGGACTAGCCTACATGCAAAAAGAAGAAAGTGAAGTGGGTTTTTGACTAACTGTAATTCCTGGCTTGAGGTTATTCAGTCTGTAAGAATGTTTAAATTTTGTCTCTTACGAGGGCTGGCCTATCCTGCAGCAGACAGAGACTAGCTGATTTGATTGGTTATAATTAGTGGCTATATACTGTTCTGTCTGTGTAGTAAGATTAGTTTTGGGGGCTCCCTGTGGATCCATTTACATTCACTGCTGGAATGCCCAGAAAGAAAGGGCTAAGGGAGGAAGACAGGTGAAAGCTCCCAATTAAACAGCAAAGTTTATTCATGAGGTTGTAGAGAAGCTCGTGAATGTACCTACTGTATGTATGGATTTTAAGGTCTAGCAGCAAGGCCCCTCTAAATCCCAGAGAACACAAATAAACTCTGTGCTGTGGTCTTCTGTTTCAGGAGGTGGCTGATAAAGAGATTGCTGCCCTGCCCCGGGACAGTTGCCCTGTGAGGATCCGGAACAGGTGCGTCCTCACATCCCGCCCTCGAGGGGTTAAGCGGCGCTGGAGGCTCAGCAGAATTGTTTTCCGCCACTTTGCTGACCATGCTCAGATGTCCGGTGTACAGAGAGCCATGTGGTAATAATCACCACATGGATGTGCATGTAGGCAGAAAAAACAAACCAGGCTCGTTTGTGTGTATAATTAAAGCAGGACTGTCCCACCTCAGAGTCCAGCATCAGTGTAAAAATAATAAGGGAAGGATGAGAAGTTGTACTGATTCATTAAACTCACTGGATTACAACTGGTATCAGCTGACAAGCAAAAGCACAAATGCATTAAACTGGTCTGTATGATACGCAGTTTGTGACAATAAAGTTGCAGAACTAACTTAAGGTTTGTGGTATGGGCAACATTGGAAATAAAGACATACAGCAAACAGCTTGTTTAAGCAGGTTTTTTTTTGCCACTGTACAGTAAGTTTATCATGGTAATTTGGGTAAAAGCATAAATAAAACTGCACAACACAGCAAAGTGGTATTCTGCCATGAACACAGGCAACCAGAGTGGGATAAAACATGGCCTCAAGTTTAGATACTCTTGCTATGCAAACTAAATACATATATTAACAAGCAAAGTGGCTAAAAGATGTGTTAGAAACTACACCATGCTGGTATTTCTCCTGTTGGTAGTGCAGCGCTCAGTCCAATACTTCAAGAAAACGTAGCAAGAAAGTCGTAGTCCAGACCCTAACAGGAGAGTAATGGCTTCCTTAATCCATAGGTAACAACCAATCTGTCCTTGGGAGACACATAGACACATGAGAAGGCAGGAAGGACACACAAACAACAGGCTTGCTTAGTGCTAAGGTCATGTTTGCCCTGTACTCCTCTTCAAAGCAGTGCAATAAAGGGTGGGGGGACAGTGGCTGCTCGGTCTCCCTCCCCAGCAGTGGGACTGAGAGGTGGCAATAAGGGCCAAATATCACTAGCAGCAAACTGAGAGCAACCCATCACACCCAGCTGAGTCATATTTTGGAGTATAAGCTACCTCAATATACTTCTTACTCTGTTACCTTAAACCCATTTGAAGTCTATGGTGAAAGTGGAGCTTATCCCCCATTTCCTCACACACTACTAGAGCCAGGGCAAGCTCCCTGTCCAGCATCACAGCTCACTGCTCTCCTGCTGATTACTGTAAATTGCATCCTGACTGATGCCATCACAAAGACACCCCAGGATGCCCACAGCTGGCACAAAGCACTTCAATTTCCAAAATTCGTAAGAGGCTGGACAGATAGTTTCTGAGAATAATCATTAAATTTGAGTATCACAGGATTTACACCTTAACTATCTGCTACACTATCAAGTGCTCAAGATGTGGTTCTGCTTTCTTCAGCAGTTCTCCATTTGTGACATGCTTTACACTTATGCACTTTCCCATATCTAATCAAAAAGCTACACTCTGTGAAGTGAGCATGGTGCTAGCCCCAGCAACCACAAAGGTACAGCTTCCAGTGGCAACAGAAGACTTGACCCATCCTAGTTTAAGATGCCTTTACTTTTACATTCTGTTCTTAGTCACACAGCACTACCCACTCATCTGAGATGCTTTTTCAAGGAGGAATAAGGATGTACCTATGCTTCACTCCTCAGGAAATGGTGAAACACTTGACTGACAGAAATGCTTTATAAGCTACTTTATTTAAATATTTTCTCCAACCTGAAGTGGAAAATGACTGTCTTTGCTTGGAAGAAGGTTGTGTAAACGATGATCTTTGCAACACAGCATGTCTCACATGGAAGATCAGTGTTAAGGCGGCCCTTAGAGTACTTTCAGATATCCATTGGTATATCTCCTTTGTACTGCTTTTCTCTGCTTTCAACCCAGGCCTTGTTGATGGTGCGCTTCGTCTCGTCGTCCCCTTCTGCATATATCTTTCTTAACATGTTCATAAGCCCTTCACTAGGATCTGCCATGTCATAGTCAGATTTCCTGCAAGAGGGATACATGAGGTCAGATACATTCAACAACTCTGCACAAAAAAATTAAATGGTAATATTTGTTTGAAATATGCTGGTAACAGAACTTCTGCTTTGGTGAAGTTGTTAGATCACAGCGCTCTCAGTCACCTTCCAAATAGGAAGAATCCTAAGAAGCAACCTTAGACCAAGTGCAAGTTGAGCAGTATATCTAGCCATGTCCCATGGRGGGGGATAGTATTTTGAAGGGAAGCATTTTGCAGTAAACACGACCCTGAAAGCATTGCATAAAGTTAACTGTAGGAAGCAGAAGTGAAATATAACACACACAGGAAAGTGCCAATACCTGCCTTGTGTTACGTGACAAGTAAATAAGAATAGAGAAATGATCACGTCAAGCTCTTCAGAGAGACCACATTCACAACCCGAAAGGCTTTTCTTCTACTTCTCATTTTTCAGACGATCTTCAGAGGTTAACTGACTCCTTAACACACTGCATTTCAAAGCAATTTTCTCAAATGACAAATAGTGCCACCTGCTGTCAGCACCCGTGGAGGACATGGCCGGTATGACCCGACTATACATGCCTTTTCTAGCAAAACTGCCTCACTATCCATTTTTTCAAAATCCTATAGCTAGTTCCTACAGTCTAGCTGAAAAACATGGCAGATGCACACAGATCAGCAGAGGGAGCAATTTCCTCACGCTCGGGGCTATCAGCTGCACAGACCCCCGCTGGGGCAGGCACGCCTGGAGCCACTCATTTGACAAACAGTAAATCTTCACAAATTCTCTGCACAAGATACAGGTTTAATCAAGTGACCCTATCCCTTCAGAAAACTGCATTAATTGTCAAGTCACTTCCTCTTAAATCTCCCGTGATGCCATTTGAGGGGAGTAGGTTGTTTTGCCTTAATTCAAGTACTTATGCATGATCAGTTTTAGCAAAGCACCCTAAAAACATACACAAAATGAATCATTGTTGGCAGGGATAACATTCTCATTATTGTTTTCATTATTGCTTCAAGGTGGCTATACATGTAAAATAGCATAAAATCATTATACAATATACATATATATATATTTTAAAAAAATTTCTTGTCCCCAGGTGTTTCCTGCTGTCATTTACCACCCTCATACTGTGTATGTCTAAGCTGCATGCTGCTCCCAAGCACTTGAAGTGATAGAAACTGGCTTGAGACTGTGGATAATCATCTAAATAAACAAAGACCTCTTTTGCCAAAAGCATGCTGGGATTTTTGTGCAGGCACTTCACACACAGGTGACAATAATTATTTTGACAAGTAGAGCTGGGGATCAGGGGGATATATCCATGTATTTCTATATAATACACAGCTGACTTAAAAAATCACCTCACTAATGCAGTTTTTGCAATGAATGCAGCCCACAAAATGCAAATGAACCTTTAATTGATTCCCTTCAGAATTCTCACTGCAGGTCTTCCCTATCATATATCCTATCATGCAGTCTTCATCATTAGTAATAAAGCAGTGGAGGAGTGGCAACTACTCAAAGTATATTTCCTCCACTTGCAATCCTACAAGTACCGAAAGAAATCCTAACCTAATGATCTTAAAACATCTCAGGGCCTGTCCCCCAGACCAACAATATTCACAGCCCAACTGCACAGTGAGTACAGATCTCTCCCAACAGTCCTAAAGCAACAGAGAGAACAAGAAATTGAAAACAAGACAGAGGATTGAAAAGACACTTACACTTTCTCTTTGCTTTCTTTTTCCACTTGAGTGAGACAATCCCATTTTTCCTCCTGCTTCTTCTTACACATCACAAGGACYGTATCTGTCTTTATCTGTATGGTGAACAGCAAGGCATGCATTCAGAATGCTTCATAAAGGAATACTAGTCACAATGAATAAGTTTTGCTTATAACATAAACCTCTTCCATATCACGAAGTCTTCACGTGAACGAACATTTTTTCTCAGCTATCATAATATGTAGCGTATAAGAATTATAGCATGCACTCGACCTCAAGATACAAAGTATTAATTTCAGTGTGGACAATTTATGTATGTGTATTGTACTACAGACCTACAGTRCCAATACAGAAGAACATGAAATGCTGCAGAAACACTGTCCAGTGATTTAAAGGATGCTCAAATACCCAGGACTGCCTGGTAAAAGAGTGACTATATTTACTAGACTTCTCCAAGCATACCAAGTTCAGGWAGAGACTCCTCCAATTTATTTCTCCAAGGATAAGAAACTAGTTTTAGGACATTGCTCAATCCTGCAACATGTCTGCAAGTTACAAAGCCTGTTTACTTGCAACCCTGACCTAAATTTCGCAAAGAACTCCTGTGTGCCACAGCAGACAAGCGTCTACTGCAGCTTTAGCTTGGCCTAACAAGTGAGTGACCACAGCTCATTTTCACACCGTGTTAAAAATCACCAGAGCATCACCCCCATTTATTGCAGCTGGTTTAATTTCACTCTGTATTAATTTCAGGCCAATTTCTAATTGAAGCAGTAGCCCTTCACATCTGATGTCACCAAGTACAACGCAGAACTCACAGGAGGTATGTGATACATCTCTAAGCCTGGAAAGTTGGTTGGTACTCACAAGTAGCAGAGTATAGGTATCACCAGTCAGCAGCAGTAAAATGCTACTGGTTGTCCTGGCTGGGATAGAGTTAGTTTTTCCCTTAGAAAATTAAACCCCTGCTAGGGTTAAGCCACCACACCAGTGCTCARTTCTGGAGCAGCACACCTTTACTAAGGCAGGGCAAGCTCCAGACTTCGCTTTAGGAATTAAGCCTGTTTAAGCTTCACAAGACTTCAGTCTGCTGACTGAATCTCTAAAAATTGCAAAGAATTTCTCACAGGTATTTAAAAGCACAAAGATGCAAATGAATGCTTGGTGGTATTTTCTGCTTAATTATTTCTGAAATCCTGTTGGTGAGCTATTAAAATAAATCCACAGTCTCCATACATCATCTCTTGAAATACAATTCCAGAGACTAATTCCACAGTTAGGACAATCACAGTTTAGTAAGACTGATTTTCACAGTGCAGAGACTTTGCATCAGAAGGGACAGACTGAACATTAGAACTAAATCTCCTGAACTAGTCAGGCAATGAACATGGTACCTTGTGAGCGCCCTAAATTACCTCTAACAGACAAGGTGCACTGACCTTTCTCAAGCTGCCTTCCACAGAGATGGGCTTCAGGAGGTTGTTGAAGGTCATGGTGTAGTTCTTCCCATTCAGATTCTTCACTAGCAGATCAAATGACCTGGACTCATGAAATCGAGGAAGGAAAGGCAATTCCAATTGTTATATTGTCTGAAAACCCTTTAACACCTTTAAAGGTGTATTTCTTAGGAAAGTAGGTGCACTTCTTGGGAAAGCAGGCCAACAGGCTTTAATTACTTTATTCCCAGGGCTCTCAAAATGTTCAATTCAATTTTAACAGAAAAATTAAAAGGACCAATCCAGACTTCACAACAAACCAAGATCTTTAGGCTCCTTTCTACCTCAATGATCCTCTACAACACYGGAAAAGCAAATTTCCTTATTGTACACCTCTGTTCTATCACCWCAAATACCCAGGGCTAACACTAGTGCCCTGTCAAGCATGCTGGGGTGCACTTATAAAATGAAAACACCCTGATACCCTCAAGTGCTACTAAAAGCTAATACAACTAAAGTTAAAAAAAAAAGGAGGTGGAGAAAAAAAGGCTGATCCAACACTCCTGCATTTCAGTGTTCTTGTTGTGGTACAAGATGAACTCACCTCTCTGTGAAATTCACCTGCACRTTCTCAGCAGGAAGCTTCTGGACACCATTTAAAGAGATGTAAATCTTGACAAACTTATCTGACTGATCCCAACCTGGAAGTGAAAAGAAAGAAATTAAGGAAATTAAGTTCTACCTTTCCTCTATAAGCTTCATGCAGTCCAACTTCCCCCACAAAGCCCCCTAGAATGACTAGGATCTCTGCCTTACTGAAGCAGAATTTTCACAGTGATRAAGGGAAAACATGAATTAATCAGGAATAACTTGAGAGCAAAAGAAGGTCCCTCTGTGTAGCCCTGTTCCCTTATCCCTGCAAATTTTGAGAAAACCCACRTATCAGCTGAGGTAAAAAGAGAGAAACCCTGGCTGTGCAGGGGGAGTCAGAGCCAGCTGTTTGCTCGTGCTGCAATTTCCTTGACCCACTTTTTCCCCTACTCCCTGCATCTTGAGCAATTCCCTCTCCTCTCACCTACATGGTGAGCAGAGGAGCCAATGCTTACTCTTTCATTCCTAAACACTAAGCAATGGAAAAATACAGTTGGTACAACAAAARCAGTTAATGCAGCCCACAAAACACTACCACACAAACACGATCAATACAAACTGGGCTTGGGATGGCAAGGTAAGCATGCGGTAGCTTTTGAGTGGGGTCTCCAGTGTGGAATAAACACTTAAGACTTCACTGTGATGCTAAATAGCAACTCTTAACTCCCAGTAATGCCACCCCATCTTCCCTTTAGAGAGATGCTGGAGCTCTAGAAAAATAATCCTACCATAACTGTTTATTTTCACCGTGTACCCTCCCAGTGATGACTTTTCTTCCTCTGCCACATCTTTTGGCTTTGGTGGAGGCTGACTTTTGATTTCCAGCTCCAGCTTGTGTTTCTCTGCCACAAGGACATCACGCACCCGCTTCCTAGTGGCTTTCTGGAGCAGTTCCTTAACCTCTTCCAAATCCTTCTGCAACTGGTTAAAAAACAAAGAATCACACACTTACATTAGACACATTCTTTCCGCTCAGGGCTCACAGCTTTTCATGACAATTCCAAATGTTCCAGATGTCGGAATTTCAGCTTAATGAGGTTAGTAGTTTAGTTTCCCACTACAACCAGTTAAGCACAGAATCATCCCTTCTGCAATGCCTGACCACTCCTGTGTATATACATAACCACAGAATCTTAATTCACGGAATGGATCGGGCTGAAAGGATCCAAGCCTCTTTTCAATCAGGGACATCTCAGAGCRCAMGGCTGGAAAAGACATCCAAGATCATCAAATCAGACAAGGTTCACGACTTCAGTGCCTAACCTTCATCAATCAGAAAACAACAGAAACCAAGAGAAGCTGTGTGGCTGGCAGAGCTCCCTCAAGAGGCACCGCCGTAGGGGAGACCCTCCCCCTCCACCAGCCCTCATCGAACGCGGGGACCACGGCTCCTCTCCCCCGCCTGCAGCCGGGGCCACAGCACTGCCCCTCGCAGGGAGCGCGGCCAGCGCCGGGGGCAGCACCGGGGCAAACACAGGGAATCACCTCACTCACCTCCTCCCGCGCCACGGCCATGACAGCTCCCCGCCGAACGTCTGGAACCTTCCGGCCGCGGGAAGTGACGCCCGCCGCCGGTCCCTCCCACTA